ACTTGTTATTGGTGAGCTAGAATTTATTTACCGCAAACAACTTTCTCACGCGAGAGCAATTGTACTGGTTATTGGGGATCTAGAATTTTTTTTTCCGTGAACAACTTTCTTACGTTTTTTGGACCTGAAAAAATTTGACCGCTCCTTAAAGTCCTTGGGCGATCTCTGCGCAATGGGTCATTGTCATCTCACATCATGTTGTGTAAATATTTTTTGATCGAATATTTACACAAGCGTAGCGCAGTGTCCTTTTACGGACTCTATTTTTTTCCAACTTAAGTCGCAAATACAATGCTCATTTCTGTGATGGCACTTGCAGCACTATCTGGTAAAATTTTGCTGCATAGTTTTATATATTTGTTTTTTTTAGTGGCTGGTTCATGTTAGATAGAAATACCCGTAAAAATTTATGTGATTTGGTTTGTAACGAATTATCGAGATGCTTTGGAAAAGTTGCACTTTTCTCGAGAACTACTCAACCGTTTTTTAAAAAAGGTTCCTGTGGAAATACCGACTGCTCTCGTGTGCCTGAAGGGTTTCTACTTTTCTTCTTTTTCTTGTAAACTACCCTGCCAAATCTGAGAATCAATAGAAAAACTGGTGTGAGGCATCCTCCCTGCACCAAAGGCTGCGCCTTAGTTTGTAGAAAAAAATGTTATGGCAATAGAAATAGTCCCATTTGGAAATTTTAACAATTTTGCTGTCTTTTCTCAAAAACTACCCGAACAAATCTGAGGCTAAATGTTTGATCCAAATAACAGGTTTTGGGAATTTTCCGTGTCCAAGCGGTGTCTCCCTATTTTTCAAGAAAACATTTTAACGCCTTAAAAGATGTAGTTTTTGAAATTTTGCCTGTTTTCTAGAAACTTATCGACTTTCCTCAAAAACTCATCCGAGGTTGAGGGTTGAATGCTAAAAGAAGGTGGTGGGCACTTTTTCTGTATCAGCGGCGAGGTTCTAATGTTCTAATGTAGAAAATTAAATTATTATCATTTTTTATTTCGACCGTGTTTCGGAGGCATTTGTCGAAAACATCCCTGCGAAATCTGAGATAAAATGTTCAATCGAAAAGAAGGTGCTAGTATTTTTCTCAAATGTGAGGCTAAATGTTTGATCCAAATAACAGGTTTTGGGAATTTTCTGTGTCCAAGCGGTGTCTCCCTATTTTTTAAGAAAAAATTTTAGCGCCTTAAACGATGTAGTTTTTGAAATTTTGCCTGTTTTCTAGAAACTTATGGACTTTCCTCAAAAACTCATCCGAGGTTGAGGGTTGAATGCTAAAAGAAGGTGGTGGGCACTTTTTCTGTATCAGCGGCTAGGTTCTAATGTAGAAAATTAATTATTATCATTTTTTATTTCGACCGTGTTTCGGAGGCATTTGTCGAAAACATCCCTGCGAAATCTGAGATAAAATGTTCAATCGAAAAGAAGGTGCTAGTATTTTTCTCTGCGTTGAGGCTAAGACTTACTTTTGCAGAAAAGCAATGTTAGATTTAGAAACAGTCCATGTTTTGAAATGTGAGTTTTTTGGAAACTTTGTATTTCTCGGGCTAAGGGCTCAGTCGAAAGAATAAGCTCTAGTGGTATCCCCTGTACAAGGAAATTTTTCCGATTGTGACAAGGAACCCACTATGGACTTAAGAAATATCTGACCATTTTTCGAACTTTCTGATTTTTTTTTGTGTGGGTTCTGAAGTTAAGAAATCCATCGGACGGAGATGTTTTTACCTTTCCTGATAGGAATCAGCTCTGGGCTTGGCAGTTCTGACTTATTTTGAAAACTACGGTGTATTTTTTGCATCAGTATATTTGAAAAGATTATCTACCGCATGCCTCCAGCTGTAGCTGGCCCCTTGTGCTTAACTTTTGTTGAGCGATCATGGTGCACATGCTAGGACGTGTGACTCTTAATCTCGAGACCTGGGTTAGATTCCAGCATATATCCTATTTTTAGCTAGTTTTTTCAATTTTTTTTTGTGTTGACCCTTTTAGAGCTTTCAAAGCTTGTTTGCCGTTTTCTCGCTTTTGTTGGCGAATTCGCAGCTTCGCCTCAGTCAAAAATCTGGCTAACATATAAAATGAGTCAATAATGCAAAGGTAGAAGATAAATATGTCATAAACCATTTGCCCTAATTTGGTCGATCACCGTCGAAACATACCAAGCACTGTTGTCCCACGGAACTTTTATGAAAATAACTTAAATTAAACTTTTCTAACATTTGGAGCAAATTGGAAGTAAATATGTTAATTGAAAGTCGAAAAATACTCGAGTTCGGCCGAGACAGTCAAAACGTATTTCACTTGGGCGAACTAAGTCGCACACTTTTTGATCGAGATGGTCAAAGCATATCTGACTTTGGGACGGGTTGAGCATCGTCAAGCACTTTTTTGGTCGAGAAAGTCGATACGTACGCAAAATTGGTCGATTCGGTCGAAACAGATGGAGCATTTCGGCCAATTCTCTGGACATTGGAATAATATGTAAAGCAAGTGATTGTTTTTGTCGTTGTTAAATTGAAGTCATCATAGATTCTACGTTTTCCTTAGTTCTGAATTAAAACAGTGCGAAATCTAATTCTGAATAGCGAAATCGTTTTTGAATGCCTACTAAATCTCATGTGAGTAACTGTTTCAGGTTTTATGCAATGCACAAGGAGATTGTGTGTTAAAGTCCTGTTTTCGTCTGGAAGTCTGAGCTCCCTTCGATTACGAAGTCTCGTTAGTATCTATAGGAAGCTCTCAAGTGATGATGGTTTCCAGATTCCACTGAGTGAGTCTCTATTTTTTTGACATTGCCGGCCACTTAAAGCGGAAAGTTTTGTTTATTGCGGAGGTCAGGACAGGACATTATTTTTTTTCGTTAACAGGATTCGTTTGAAAAAAAAAAACTTTTCTTTGTCCAGACATTAAGTATTTTTTAACGCCGTGTTACTATGAAATCAAATGCGAGATTGCAACATCGTTGGCTTTGCATGCAATTCCAAAAATCAGTTGCAAGAATTCGTTTTTTTTTGAAATTTGAGATTTATCCACTCTGTTGGACCAAGGGAATTGTGTGGTCGTTAAAAAAACTGAATGTTGGATGCGTTGCCAAATAGGAATATTTTCAACACGGAGAGTATCAGCGTCTTCCCTAGGCCCACCACTGGGCTACCGCATTTACACTAATTAATTAGTGAACTGTTTTCCTTATTAAACGTCAATGTACGAAGTGAAGAGATTGATAAATTTCTTTTTTTGAAAAATCCTGAAATGTGTTCACGCTTGAAATTTTCTCAAATTGACTTTCGATTACTTGATAAGTTCATTGCAAACTGTGTCAATCTTACAATCACCTGTGAAAACTGAACACTCCTTTCGAGCCTATGTCATGCCTTGTTTTTTTTTGTTTTTAACATACGTGACGTTTATTGAGATCAGATTTATGCAAACTCATGCTTAACTTTTTTAAAAGGTGGTATTTGATCGTATTTTTTTCATTATATTGGTTGTTGAACCAGTAAGCTTAACATCAACGTACAGGAGAATGGATTATTAATACCACGTGTTTCTGAATTTTGCACAATTGATACTTTTTTGCAGACAAATTGAAGATATCATACTCGCGAAGCTCGGGACCAGGAGGTCAGAACGTAGACAAGGTCAATACCAAGACTGAAGTTCGCTTCACCATCGATTCAGCCGATTGGTTGCCGCAAGAGGCAAAGGTCAATCTACCAGTCAAATTCCCATACAACGTCAACAAGGAGGGAGAGTTCTTTTTGACCTCACAAGTTTACAGGTAGTGACTTCAGTCATTTTGATATCTTTTTATTTCGACCTCACAAAAGGGGCAAAGCGGCAGGAGAAGGGTGAATTTTTTTCAAGTCATTTTTTGAAATCTCTAAGAGCTAGCAGGAGGTCAAATGAGACAGCCCATTGAAGCCTTATCAGTCGTGATTCGGAGATAGCTGGTTCTTGTATCGCGAAAAATTGGTCTGTATTTTTTCTACTGTTCAGCATCTTAGTTTGAACAATGAATGATTATTTGCATATTTTGTAACCGCGTACTAGAGTTTGTTTATTTGTCATCTCACATGTTTTTCGGTCCTTTTTGCCATAATAACTGTGGACGAAATATTCTGTCGTACTTGCACAGCAAATGGTACGTCTGTTTTTTTTATTATAGCTCGAATCGATTACTTCGTATTTAAGTCTATATTTTTAAACCCGTTTTTTAAACCCAAAGTTTTTATAGTATCAAAGAAATCGTCCTATCAGTTGTCTGCTAATGTTTTTTCGGCTTAGTTTCCACACTTCTTAAATTTCTTGTGATGTAAGCTAATTTTATTGTAAATGGAAGTGTCTTTGATTCTTTCATTACAATTGCAATAAGCAGAGTTATTGCAATTGGGCACTAGACTTTTTTCCGTTACTAACTTTGTTCACAGAATGGTAAAAATTAGATATGGTAAATTTAGGTTCAGTTCATCACATATTCAAATTTCTCTGCGTCTCCGGCACACTTGGTCTGGAGGTTACGAATTCACCTGGGACGTCAAAGGTCCTAGGTTCGAATCTGACTATTATTACGTCTGCAATACAGACGTAATAATAGAGGCCTAAACCAGCTCAAAGGCAGGCGTACCTAGTATAGTAGATACGAGAGTGGCTACCAAACCCATGGTAGGGTTTCGAATCCAGTTCTATTCTGGCTTTTGTTTTTAAGCAATAGGCGGGACAAATCATATAAACTAATTTTGTCACGGGACCAAACAAGTTAACTAGTACCACCACTTTTCCTCTTTTGTGATTGCTTTGGAAAATCCGCGATCGCTTTCGCTTATACCCTTTGATCGGCCTCTTTCATTAACGCTTTCGCTTTAAGCGGCACAATACTCTGGTTGTGTACTGTACTGTTTCTGTTTCCAGGACCCAACACGAGAACCTAAAAGACTGTGTGAAGAAATTAGGATCAATTATCGAGTGGAGTTTGTATAAACCACCGCCCGTTAGTGCAGACGAGAAGCGCAAAACGGCGATAGCGAAGTTGAAGGCGAACAAGCGAAGGATAAGAGAGAAGAAAGAGAGATCTGCTGTGAAGAAAGGAAGGAACTTTTGGACTAATAACAATGAATGTAAGTGTGACAACGAAATCTTAGGTTTTGATTCAATTGAACTTCTATGATGCTCACACGCGAAGGGGAAATTTCCGTTTGTGGTGATGATTAACAGCTTTCAGTTGAGTGCTTAATCCTATTTTTTATAACTGATTTTTTTTATTGCTAATATGCTTGATATTGGATATAACATTTACTTAGTTGATAAATGAGAGCTTTCTTTGCTTTCAGATTAGCTCGGGTTGCAAGCTGTGCACTCGATTTGTTCGCTCGGGAAGAACACCACAAGTACTCCTCTCGAGTTCTGCAGCAGCCACGACAGAAAAGTTGACCATGGAAAAAAGTGAACAGAGAAGAAAAAGACGTAAAATTTTAGACCAGATTCTTAGGGTTGATCACGCAGGCGAACTTGGTGCAAATTATATTTACAAAGGCCAGTTGAAGGCTCTCGGCTCATCGTCGCCAGCTGCTAAAACTATTGAAGTAAGTGTCGTCAGAAATATTTGGTTAGTACATCAGACATATGAAAGCTGGTTCAAGAGATCCGAAATTTGCGTGCTACTAGTCATGTCGTCCAGCTTAATATAGTTATTGACCAACCAAAGTTTGTTTTTATGACGAAAACAAAGTTTGTCTGGATTTTTTTCTAAAAAATTAATAGAACGAAGTAATTTTCGCTTATATATTGTCTTGATGATTTTGTTAATTTCTTTTTTTGTCCAGATTTTCAAATTTACAATCGTTCAACGGTCAGTCGGAATTAAGTAAATAAATTTGAAGCAAGCCAAATGCTTGAGCTAGCTGGAACACACTGTCATAATTCTTCATAAGATTTTTTTCAGAAAGTTTTGTTCATGCTCAAATTTGATTTTTTTTTGCGATTTGTCTTATGATTTCGTTTTAAGTTTACTTATTTTCCTTTGTTAAAGGCAAGGCAAACGCCACAGTCGAACAGCAAAAATAAAAAGGTCACGGAATACGTGAATGACTTCTATTTTCAAAATTGGACTTTAATTTTCTGAATTCCCCGCGGAATAAAAAAAAAGTTACCTATTGATCCTGTTTTCTCTAAATGGGATAACTTTACGAGAAAAGCGGCAATCAAAAACATCATTTGGAATTCAAAGTTTCAACTTGTATATATATTTTTTGAAATTTATAAGCTGTTCAAAAGTTTTCAATCAACTTCCGGTTTTCTTGTTCCCTGTCTTTTGGCAATGTGTTTTCGGATAACTGCAATTTGCAATGTTGATATGTAAAATGGCAGACATCTTTCCTTGAATGTTTCTATCCTTGAGAGAATTGGTCAGCATAAACGATGATATGCTATTGACACGCAAATTGATCCTGTCCGTGGTGGTTAATGGGCTGATATTAAATTAAATATTTCGTATTCTGTAATTTAAATTTTAGTTTTAGAAAAATGAATTTGATTTTAGTGTTGGTATTGAAGCAGTGCAGCTGACCTCGTTATCTGTCCTTCTAAGTTGCAGTGCTAGTGTTAATATTGTTTCATTTTTCACTCTTATTACACTAACAACTGTAGTGTATTGATATGACTCTAATTTGTTTTCCAATCTAATTCGGAAATAAAAGTGCTAATTTGGTAGCATTTTTGCTATAATCACAAGCTGTAACATCTCTGCTTTATTTGTGGCTAGTGTTTGACTATCGCTAAGTGACTCTGGGAAAGACGGAAGGACGTGAATCTACTCATGTACTGATCAGAGAATCAAAGCTGCACTTAGCACGAGTTTTATTGGTATTTGGTGGCATTTCTGCTGCATAGCATTAGCATTTTTTTGTACGGACTTTCGAAGAAAACTGAATTTTTATGCTTGATGTGTTTTTTTTCAGTAAATTTTCCGCGATCGAAACAACAGTTTTCAACAACAACAAAAAATTATAGGCCCCATTGAAGAAATCTCCCTGAAATCAAATTTAAAAAAATTTTTGCATCCGAGCGTTTTTTGCAAAATTTTGAGAGTTTGAAAATTGCCAATTCGGTCGTGCTCCGGACTAATTTATTTTCTCTTTGAACATTTTATTCATAACCCTGAAAGCGTAACGCGAATTATTTTTGCGTGGCAAATTATTCCGCACAACAAAATCGTTCCAAATTGAATTGAGACTAACTAGTCGGACGTATTAATTTCGTACGACACAAGATTTTACACTTGCAATCAGCTTAGTGTTTTCTTACGAACCTCCATTTTTTCTAACCTAACTGTGTTCATTAAAAGTGTTCACTCATTTAAATTTTTTTCCTGTAGCATTGGAAATTGCATAGCATCTGTTCTCTGCTTTGTTTGTGGCTATTGTTTTGTGCCTATTAATCATTAAGCTTCTGTGGCTGAATTATAACTGTGTGAGACCCTTAATCTCTAGGTCGCTGGTTCAAATCTCAAAGTTAGCCGATTTTTTATTAATTCGAGGCTGCAACTATAGATGCTAACAAGACTGCTCATATATCAGGGCAAAGCCCTGAATGTTCTGACTGCCTCTTAATCCATATCGAACAGATTTTTGGGATAAGAAAATATTGAAAAATTATAAATTTTGGACACTATCAAAGATCAAAAGTGAAACAGAGGCGAAGCTTCGCTTCGCAAACAATAGCGAGATCACGACAAAAAGCAGCTCTATAAAATGCAATAAAAATAGTGTTTGTGAAGCGAAGCTTCGCCTCAGTTTCACTTTTGATCTTTGATAGTGTCCATAATTTATAATTTTTCAATATTTTCTTATATCAAAAATCTGTTCGATATGGATTAAGGGCAATCGGAACATTCAGGGCTTCGCCCTGATATACGAGCGTTCTTGTTAGCATCTATAATTGCATCATTGATGGCTAGTGTTAGCAGCAAACTTGCAAGGGCCTGCGGCGTAGATGCGAGAAAATGTTATTAATTAGAGGCTTATTTCTACTTTTTCTTAGTTCACTTTATAGAGTTGCTTTTTGTTTTCGTTTTCTCGCTACTGTTGGCCAAGCACATCTTCGCCCGTGTTTATCGAATTTCATTAATTTCTTCGTTCAGTCGTTCGCGTTACGTCGTTTCCTCTTAGAACTGGTGCTCCTGTTGGCATTTATCTTGGTTTCTTGTAAAGTTTTTGCTGTTTACCGCTCTTACCAATTTCTATTTTTTTGAATTTTTTCTTTCCTGTGAATCTGTTTATTGTCCGTTTTCGGTTTTTGATGTCGTTGCTTTCGTTGTCTGTTTGCGTTTCCAAACTATTCTTTTGTGTCCTGCCATGTTCTTTGGGTCTGAGCTCATGCATCATGCACCCATTTCCCTTGGATTACCATACACTCTTTGCAGTTGTTCGTCATGTTGTGTTTTCCGGTAACCTTTTTTTGGCATTTTGGTAATGAAATGCTTTATTTGTTGTTCTATGGACTCTTTCGTTTTGGACTAGCCCGGTTTTAATTTTGCATATCTTCTGACATCCCTCCCATCGACGGCTCAGATCGCGTTATCTTTTACCTTTACACCCCGGTGGTATTTTTTCACCTAGTGTTACCCTTTACATGTAAGGTAAGTTTCGCACCCAATCATTTTCTCCCGTATTTTATCAATTTTCTTTTTCAAGTCTTTCCCGTTGCTGACAAGGTTGGCGGCATTAGTCCAATCTTCCACCATTTCTTTGATCAAGATGGTCTAGTAGGATATGATGATGTTTTTTAAGTATCTTTTGGTTTCCGTTTTTTTGTCCATTTCCATTTGGCCATCTTTATTAGTCTCTCATTTGTTGTAGTGCTTTTCATAATTTTGTTTAAATATTCACTCTTATTTATATCGATGATAAATTTCTGATTTTTTTCCTGAAGCAATACAAGTGAATCATTTTAGTTACTTTTCTGCAACTCTCTTTGGCGAGTAGGTGTTTGTTACTGTTTGTTGTTCTATAGTGTTGTGTTGCAGGATATGTGGAGTCACGAGAAGGAGCACTTGGCCACTCTGGAGGAGATGATGCCGAGAGAGAGGACCAGACCCAGTCTACTCCAGCCACTCTGGCAGTGTGCCGGATACACACTAGGTTGATTATTGTTATTGTTTACATCGCTTATGGCTCATCTGTCTTAACTATTGGTAGAATTGAGTAAAGTATATTTGAGAGTAAACTAAATGCAATAGTTTGTTGTGAATCTGATTGAAGCCATCTGCCTAGCGTTACAAAAATAAAGCTGCGTCAAGAAATAATTTGACCAAAAAACATGAACCAGACAGCCTAGTTTTTGTATTGGCCGTTATTTTTCACCTAAATCATGCGCTGATAATATTCTGAAAAGGAAGTTTGTTTGTATTTTAGGCTATGCTTCTGGACTGATGGGAGAGAAGGTTGCAATGGCATGTACAGATGCGGTGGAAGAAGCTATCGTAGATCACTACAATGAGTACGATTAACTTCTGTATCTTCAAATTCATCATTAATATTAAGTAGGAGCAAGAATTTTCCAATGGGAGTTTGATAAAGTGTTCAAACGTCTCCAGAATTTTTTTTATAGTTGAGAGGGCAAAAGGTATGTATTCTGAAGTTGTACCGCAAATTCTTTCGAAAATTTACCAACTAAAGTTTTGGACGCTCCCCACTTGAAAAGATAGATTTGTTGCTTTAATTCACCCTGTGCTGAACTAAGAGTTGTTTGGCCTGTTTCAGACAAATTAGAGAGCTTCTCGAAAAGCAGGAGGAAAACCAAGACAGCTATGAGGACGTTGCTCAGGTAACTTACACTTTTGGCCCTGAGTTGTTTTGAATATGAAGTACTGGTGTTATTCTGTGTCGAAAACTGAGTGTATGTGCGTGGGATGGTTTTAAATTGTCAAAGAACGTACTGAAGACACTAAAATTCGTGTTGATTTTTTCCATTGAAGAAGAAGTGCATTGTTCAGGTCAAATTTGATCTTTTACAGTATGAGTTTCGATTTTTTTTAAGTTCAATTCAAAATCATTTACTAAAAGCAAGGAGAATTATACTCTCCAGATACGAAAGCGGTTTTGAAAGTGGTTTTTCGTTTTTTTGAAAGTGGTTTTTCGTTTTCAGATTTCGTAGTGGAAGAAAAAAAATTACTTTTAATCCAGTTTTCTCAAATTTATCAAAAAAAGCGTCATTTAAAATTTTCTCGAAATTTAAAGAGCTCGTTAGGCAATATCTTGTCTTTGAAATTCAAATTTGAAGTTTTTAATTCACAAGTCAGTCGCAACATTCAGGGCTTTGATTTCGTTGAGTTCGAGAGATAAAAGTGTTGTGAGTAGATAATTGTTTTCTTTCTATACTCTTGGTTTTGTCTGATATATAATATCAATTTTTCAAAATTGGTTTTAAAATCGGTTTTCAAGAGTATTCAACGTAGTGAAGTCTCGTATTTATTTCTTGGTAATTTTTTTGTTTGTTTTTATTCTGGAAAAAGTCTTAAAACTTGATACGCTTAATTTTGATTTTTTGAAGGTTGAACTTGTGATTTTTTAAAGTGTAGTGCGTTTCCCATGCTAAAAGGAAGGCAAACTCCACTTTGAACAACAAAAGTGTAAAGGTCGCAAAATCTCACCTAATAATCGAGTTTTCTCAAATTGAGTTATATTTATTACACTTGCGAAGCGGGTGTATTAGTACGAACCTTTTTTTCCAATCTAAGTCGCAAATATTGGTGCCACTTTTGCCACATTTTTTTGAAATACATTATTTATACATAATGTGGCTTTATGATTTGCAATTTGTTACATGTAAAATTAGTGTGTATGCCTTCAGTTTTTTATATATCAAGTTATTATTGCAAAATTTAGTCTATTTGTATTTGGTGCCCTTTTTGCTGAATCACATTGGCAATTTATTAGCATATGTAGCTGCTTTATTCGTGATTAGTGTTGGTCGGTTGTAAAGCTTGCGTGATGAATCTCTTGATTGCAGTTGGTCGCAGATTCGAATCCTACGCGTAGTCGAGTTTTGCTAATTCGAGTACTTATTTCTACTTTTTTTATTTCACTTGGTAGAACTTTTTTGGTCGTGTTCTCGCAAGTGTTTGCAAAACGCAGCATTGCCTCAGTGTGAAAAAATTGTCAATCATAAATTGTCAGTCGATCTGTTTTCTTCGAAATGTTTCCTTGCGTTCATTATTCTTTTCCAACTGTAAGTTGGCTTTGTGTTTTACTATTTAGTTATTAATGGTTTCAGTTAAAACAAAACTTTTAGGCAATTGTGTTGTGTTTAGTTTACCTAATTTTATATTAATGTGGATCCATCTCATTTTTCGAAGTTTGTTTTGTTTTAGATATTGTCAAAAATGAGAGACGAGGAGCAACACCACATGGACGTGAGCAAAGAAAATGATTCAGAATCAGTTTGTGCCTTTCTTCAGTTTTTTTAACCTGAAACGATGAAATAACTTTGGTAACCTTGTTTTGTTATAGGCGCCCCTTTACTCTGTCATGAAGTCGGTAATCAAAACTGGATGTAAAGTGGCAATTTTTGCTGCTGAAAAAGTTTGAGAACGAGAAAACTAAACTAATTCATAGTTTAAAGTTATGTAAAGTGGCAATTTTTGCTGCTGAAAAAGTTTGAGAACGAGAAAACTAAACTAATTCATAGTTTAAAGTTAGTTTTGCGAATTTAGTATAATATTGTTGTATCTAACTATGGCAAATTGTAAACTAGCCAAATTGTAAACTAGAGGGAAGACGATTGAGTGCACCACAAGGGATGTAGTTAATCATGGTTTGAGAAGTTTCCAGGGAGTTCACTATCAAATCAGAAGTATGCGTTCTCTCCTTGTAAACGTCATGTTGCATTTTTCAGATTAGCAAAATGCTCATCAATTTTGTTGAAAAACATTAGCTTAGAAGTAGATGCGAGGTATCATTACGAATAATCAGAGGAACACTTTGCATGTCTCTAATTTCCACTCGAGTTACAGTTTGCAAAATTGAATCAGCGACCTTTCAAAATTTCGCGCTTATCTAATCACCATTCTAGTTCGGTGCCCTGTGACGACAGGGAAGAAAGCGAGTCCTTGTTGGAGCGAAGGCGAACTTCGTCTCCTAACTCAAGGCAAGGGGTCAACCAAGCTCAAAGGTTACTGACCTCTTCCAACTATATCCATACAACTAACGGGACTAATATTGGTGACCCAACCCGGCAACAGACTTTAGATTTTGAGTTGTCCCAGAGGAGTCAAGACTTTTGGGGTCGTCAGGCAGTGATGCAGCAGGGGTCAATTCAGCACCAGCCGGGTTCTGCTGGAGGCCATGATGGGGGCAATAGAGGACCACCTCCTGCTATTATGAGGACGTTTATTCAGAGGGATTTCAGCGAAGGAACAGCTGTGAAATTTCAAGAGAAGTTGCCAGAAGAGTTGAATGGAAAGGTGATAAAGAAAAACTTAAACACATTTAGTTATAATTAAAACATGAGATATGTTCCATTTCCTGAGCTGCTGGTTCATGTGCCAATTGTGCAATTCTTTTTAATTCAGTTCATTTCCTTTGTGTTAACAGGAAGGCAAATTCCACTATCGAATAGCAAAAATGTAAAGGCTGAGAAAAACGTGATCAACTTTTAGTTTCGAAAATGAAATTTGATTTTCAGATTTCCCAGTGAAATAAAAATTATACTTATTGATCCAGTTTTCTCAAATTGGATTAATTTTATCAAAAAACGTACCAATCATAAATTTTTCTAAAAATTCAAAGAGCTTTAAGGGCATCTATTTCTTTGAAATTCGAAAGTCAGTTTTTTTTTTACTGTTTACTTGCGTTCATTGACTCTTTTCCAACTGTCTGCTCGCTATATTTTAGTACTGGAATAAATTGTTATTTCGAGAAGTATTCTGTCTCTGTTTAAATAGATCGGATTGACCCAGAATAATTACGCTCGTCGAGTTTTTTTTTAAATTAAATACTTGCGCTTTTTGGCCATTGATGCTCTTAAACATTCCTATCAATATATTTTAAATTATTTTTAAGGTAATAATAGGTACAAAAGTTTCCTTGTATTTAACTCGAAGTTGATTGCTTCTGTTCAGATTCCGGTGGAGATGTTCACTCGAATCATGAAGGGTGTCAATGACATATTTGCGGATGCGGAGAGATTGGGAGCGAGGACCTACTGCGAGGGCTGTCTCGGCTGCCTAACTGCATACATCATATTCCTGTGTCTAGAATCCAATTACGACAAGGTAGGATCCACTCATCTCGCATATCAACGAAACTCGCCGATGAATTAATCATTCAGGTTGCCCTCGTTTACGTGTCCGGACATTTGGTCTCTGGCAAGTGTGTCCCCGGACCAAATTGTCCGAAAGATAAAAAAAACCAGACAAAACATCCACGGCCAAAATTATCCGAAATATTGAAAAACCCAAATATAACATCATCTGACGTTTCTGCGCCAAAAATGTTCACCTTGAAATGGCAATAGTCTAGTTCATGAGGGTAAACTAAGGAACAATCGTCCGGGATAGCAATGTTTATGCATTCTTCTTTTCGTTATTAAGTTTATTCTGGTTGCACCAGAGCCAAGCAAAAAATGTTAGGGGAAGAGAAGTCATTGAGGTAAAACGATCAAATTTCAGGTTTTTGCATGTTTCATTTTTAAGTTGACTTAACAGGGCTTTTGAAATTACTTAACAGGGCTTTGAGACTTGAAAGATTCGGTAGACTTGTTGCGTTCAAGGGTTAAACGTTTGTGTTAGTTGGCAGACTCATTAAAAGAGGCTCATTTAGACAACGTTAATACTCCTAATTTTTACTGACTCTTTTTGTCTGAAAATTATGGTGCTATACAATGTTAGCGAGCACTTAAGTTTCTCTTAAGATGTTAGCTTGTATGTTTCAGTGTTTGAAAAGACTTCACACCTACCTGGAGACTGTGAACAATGGAACACTGCACCCAATGGGACTGCACATGGTCAACCCAATGGAGAGAGGGTTGCGGGTCATCGAAGTGCAAATATACCGATGATAAACAGCAACAACAATATCAGTAACAACAACTGTGCTCCCATATCGATTGAAGAAAGAAAACATAACTTAAGTTAAGAAGAAAACCAAAGTTCGCCCAATAGTTTCCGAAATGTGCTAATTTCCCCAATTTTGGAAACTTATTTGCAATTACTGAAGCTACAAGATGAATTTTAAAAACTTAATGAACCTTGCTGAATATTGAACAAAAAGAAGTGCTCACCCTGCTTCGTGTAAAAATATAAGTTGGATCGGTTATCGGAAGCAGTTCAGAACTGTTGATTAAATGTATGTTGTTCATATCTGTCAGAGTAAAGCAGAGAAAAGTTATCTGATTCTAATCGTATTGATGCGCAATTTAATTCTTTTACTGAAAATATTAGATTTAATGATTATGTCTTTTATATTTTCACTCTTGAACTATAATTAAATATTTGCTTATCTGTAGTTTTCAAAATTTCCATAAAAACTGACTATGCATAATCTGGATATGACACATTTTGTCTCAACTTTGATAGTTTTCTAATTTTTATTTCCTTGCTTGCGCTCGATCGGTAGCTCTTCAATCAATAATCGTAGTGAGAACAGTATTCATACCAATTTTTCGACTCGCAAGCTCTTCCGAATTTTTTCATTCAAATTCGACTTCGGGTGAAAGTTTGTGATACTCTATTCACTCAACTTAGTACAACGTTTTTATTAAGTACTTGATTTTGCGACTACAAAACGGGTGTTTTTTCCTTCTGACAATTTTCAGCTAAGTACCATTTTCAATTGGAATGTCTATACAACCTGAAAAATACCGATGCTCTGTGTAGAATTGCTGATTCTACTGTATTACATAGTAACCTGAGCGTAAGATTGAATCGTCATTAAGTTAAGTAGTACAGCAAACAAAGGGTCGAGTTCAAATTAATTCATTCTTCGAAGATATCGTCCCTCCTGTTCCAGAAAATAAAATTTGACAAAATCGGCGAACCCCCCCCCCCCCCCCCCCCCCACCCCCCCATCGGAACTAAGAAAGCTAATGTAATGAAATTCAGAGGAGAGATACTAGAGATGATTTGACGGGCATACAAAAAACAGGACCCCTCAGACCCTTGGGGGGCATTTGATAACGGTCCCCGGAAGTGTAAATGGCCCTATCAGAACTCGGAAACTAGCGGCGGAAGTGGGCTCAAGTTTTACTATGTTGTAGGCCTTGTTAAGGGGAGCTTAAGTTCGGAACCCCTCAGACCCCCGCTTCCAGTTTTATGCCCTAAGTAAACAAACCCACCCCTAACTTCCGGAAGTCGTTTCTCGGCCTCCAATGATCACTTGGAGGGATGATAGGTAGTGGCAAGATACATCTTGTATTATAATTTGAACCAAATCCGGCGGTTGGATTGGAAGCTATTAGCACTTGAGAAAACACTCCCTTAGACCGGAAATAGGCAATATACATCAAAATACTGAACGGTGGCATAATGATTTTATTGCAGCAATCGACATAAGATACGAACCCCGAAAAAAGACGCCTTGTGAGTGAAAACCCTCCGGCGACTCCTTCCGGTGTTAATAATCTTTTTCCGGAAAAAGCTATAATAGACCTTAGAAATGGTATAACTTGTGAAGTATTCATGGGATATGAATAGAACTTGGTAGTTAGGACCCCCCATGGGATTCTGAACCTAAATATGGAAGTTTGACCCCTGTTAACCCTGGGTGACCTTTGGGCATTTTGACCCCGTAATTGCATGGGAAACCACAAGATTAACACCGGAAAGTGGCGTATTCCCCAGCCCAACCCCTGGAATTGAGAATGGGTCACCTTGCTAAAAGCTGGGAGGAAAACTTATATATTGGGAACTAGAGCAGAAGCTGATAGAGATATAGCTTTTGCGTTGCAACCTTGGAGTAGTAGAGTTAATTCAAAGTGGAATTGGTAAACATTGGGTTCAGTTTAGCTTGGCGAATGATCTATTAATAGCAATTCAACTAGACTAAAGAAAAGTAGTCCCAGAGGAAATTGATAGTAATAGGACCGCAGCATGAGAATTAGGTCTCCTAAATAGTACGAACAGACGGGGAGTTTACTTAGCTTCCTGGAGGTAGGTGACTTTTGTGGTTCCATTTGACCCCTAATAGACGAACTACGTTCACCTGATAGCTAGTAGGTTGGGATTGGAATAGAGTACAGATCGAAATTTTAGATGCTTGGAATGAATTAGCTACCCATAAAAAGAGCCTCCCCCTACCCTTATGAGGTCGGAACGTTAATGGGATAATTAAAATAAAGACCTTGGGAGGGTCACTGAGTAAATGTAGCATGGTTTGGAGGTTGAGTTGAACTCGAGTGCTGAAGTCACTGAGGTCAGGAATTTGCTGGTTAGAGTCGTATGACATTTGTTTGCTTGGTCAAATTGTGACACCTACCGCATACGTGAAAAGATTGATAAAAGAAACCGAAGTTGGCACGTGGCAGAGTTGACAGGGGGAGGGATATAGCCTTAAACATGTGCGGATGGGTGATTTAAGCGGATGTCAGGACTGATAGGGAATGGCGTGACTTAACTAAAGCTAAGTGTTAAGAAAGATAAGGAATTGGAGGGTACCGGAGAGCCTTTAAGAGTCAGAACAGTTGTTAGCTGCTATTGAGAGTAGTTGGTTCTCAGTCAGAAAAGAGAACAGTTGTTAGCTACTATTAAGGGTAGTTGGTTCTCAGCCAGAGAAGAGAACAGTTGTTAGCTACTATTAAGAGTAGTTGGTTCTCGTCAGAGAAGAGAACAGTTGTTAGCTACTTTTATGAGTAGTTGGTTCTCAGTAAGAGAAGAACAATTTTGCTAGCGAATTGAGTAGTTGGTTCTCAGAGTAGGAGAACAATTATAGCAGAAAAGTAGATAGATGGTTCTCATCAGAGGTTCTCTAGAGAGAGAACAGTTAAGTATTAGTGGAGTTAGTTGGAAGTTAATGGCAATTTGGCCGACAAATCGCGGACCCTTTCCTTTTGATTTGATTATTAGGTAATATCCTGGCCACTCAGAGCCTTCTGAAATTGGACATATAATCATCTAAATTAATTTATCATTGGAAATTCTTGCGATTGGAAATTCTTGCGAATACACAGAGGGGGCAAGCAACAATACAATACAGAATAATTGCCACCAAAATAACCCTTTCGGGATTGTAGATAGTAGTGATTCTCGGTCGCCCCGTTGATTTCACTGCCCAAGGGACGACTTTGCGGTCTCGTTAGGAAAGAGAGAACGAACCTAGAGAAGAAATCCCCTAAATCTACACTGCATTCAAAAATGAATAGATACTTCGTTCTTAATATATAGACGGAGACTGAAATAAAAAACAAAAGTTTGTCTCTGAAATTAAAAATTGACTTGGAGATGTCTCAAAAAGTTATTCAGATATGATGCTTCAAGCGTGGTGATAAAAATATCTGAACGAAAAACTGGAAATGGACGAAAAACATGACAAGAAAAAATCATTAAAAAATCAAAAAATAATTAAATGTTGAATAATTTTTCAGAAATCTTTTGAACTTTTAGATTCCCAAAATGGCGCCAACTAGACTCCAAAAAATAATTTAACTCGATTAAAACTAAATTTTTACGGCTTAAATTAAGCTATTCAAAGCCTGCTCGCTCGCTTTGCGCGCTCTGTTGGACTAAAGTTCAATAATTTCAACCCGGTTGTGCTCAACACTGGAAAAATGATTTTTTTAAATGTCGGTCTGAATATGATTATATCACTCAACTCACCCCGATCATTATTTGTGGTAGCTGATTTTTCGTGGAAAACAAAAAAGAAAAATAAAGCTAAAACAATTCGAATATAAAGTTACTACCCTATTTCAATCGGATGGTCGGAACAAAAAAAACGAAACAAGATGTAGAAACATCGAAATATGCTCACAACTACTTGAAAATCGATTTTATTCCAGGAAAGGCTGCGGCATATTCTCCAAAAGAAGTGACTTACACCAAATTTCGCTTCATATTTTTAATATTCAAAGTTTGAGCTTCGTATACGTTTCCTGAAAATAACGGCTTTGCTGCAAAAATTAGACTCGACTGTTATGTGATAGTAGATCCCATTGACATTGTCTCTGGGTTTCGTAAATATAGTAAAAGCTTTGAAATCAAAAATTTGATGAAATAAAAATTATATGATTAAACACAAGGCACTAATTTTGTCTGGTAATATGCATTAACTTATATGGAATCCACATGCTATGCGATTTTTTTGACAAATATGTACTCATCATTGCTTTGGACTCATCGAAAAATGCAGCAAACTCCAAAAAAAATGTTGCTGGAATCTGGAGTGAAATTTATTGACACCTCAGTCGAAATGCGGATTCCATGATTAAACTGCAGAATCAGAATGAGGAGTTTTGATTTTATCCCTCGGTTTAGTAATTTAAGCAGATTCCACAGTAAAGTTTATCGATTTGTATAATGACGAAGTGCAAAGTTCTGACACCTTTCGTAAAACTCATGTCAGCAGCACGAGCGTGTTTGTCTTCGAGTTACACAGGTAAAAAGATATTTATATACATTTTTGTAGACTGTAATCATATGAAAAATAAATAAGTGACAGGAAGTCATAACTTCATGCTTTAATTCTGTGAAATGATCTGCTTAGGGTTGTTTTTGTTGATGTTTTTCGCTCACTGATTTATGCAGACAACGGTGCTATCGGCTAGAGTTAATTTATTTCAAAAGGGAGTAAAAAGTGACAACGGTTTGGTTACGTGGCTTACAAAAAATGGGCTTTTGTCGGCGTATTTTTTTCGCACTACGACATTCAAACGCGCAGTTTCAGCCTGATGTTCAGCAAAAGCGAGGAATAGTCGAATTTGTTAAATGTTGAGGAACGAAGTGATTGTCACTTACATAGGACGTGAAAGTTTTTTTTTCGTTTTTTCATGAAAGATTTTTGCATTTGATTTTTTGCGGTTTGACTTTTGATTTCTTTTTACCCTTGCGATAAGCAAGGGTATTGCAACCGGGTACTGGACTTTTTTTCGCAAACAACTTGGTCCACAGAATTCGCACATATTTTACTGCAGAGGTAAATGTAGTATTTGCAAGTTAGTTACGGGCCTTGTGTGCCTGTTATGAGTTCCTTTAATGTATTTTTTGTGCCAAAAAATCGGTTTTTTATCGGCTCTTGAGTGTCGGCTCATTTTCCGAATTATTTTCTTTTTCAATTACTTTTTGTTGGTTTTCATAAGAATGGTTGAAGTCTGGCAAAAAAATTTTTTGGACAAATCTAAATCCCATTCCCAGACCCTTCCTAATTAAAGTGAAAATTTTATAAAAATCAAAAATGGTTCATTTTTTGTGAAATTAAAAAAGTTATAAAATTTTTTTGTTTTGTTTTCATTTTGCACAAGAACTTTGTTTTAAGCCTTTTATGCTTTTGTTTGTTCTGTTTTTTTTATATTTTGTT